TATTTAAAATCAAACGGTCGTTGATATGAGTAGGCCTCACATTTCCATTGAATTCCACAAAAACTTTTTTTCCAAAAGATATTATCATCCAGGATGGACTACAGTTATGCTTTCGCTTGGGTCTCATCCTCACTATAAGTAAGATATGAATCCAGGTAGTGCCTGACTTTCCTTGAACTTCACGTCTGCCCTGTGACGCATGGCATCGTAGCCTGGTCCACAGAGTGGTGGAGCCTTTTCAGGCTTTCGGAAAGCCAGACCTTTTGAAAACAATTTACGTATATGCCCAAGTTGTTGAGAGAGTCGGCACTGCTGTTGCAGCCCACGAAGTAGTGACTAGACGCTAGTACAAAGGTTGTGTGGCTTCTGACAGATTCAATGACAGGCTCCTATTCCAGGGCAGAAGTTTGGGGCAAGTATGAGAAAATTGGTGTGTTTTAAGAAAGAGGCTTCGTGCCGAAGAAATATTTTAACACTGCGAGGTGATGGCAAAGAGGATATGAAGACGTAAAAGGAGACACAGGAATGGATGAATGGAGTAATACAGTGCGAGAAGGCGTGCATTGGCATAACGAGAAAGTGTGAGTCTCTGGTAGAAGTGTGCCAGTGATGTCGTTTGGCGTATGAAAATCTCCCGGAATAGCGTGCCTGGCACGGTGACTGAATCAGCCCGGCCGAATGGAGCTTATTGAAGTTTGCTATACAATAAGGGAAAGGAATTTTGACCAGAGAGTTTGCTTCGGGCTTTTTGTTTCTCTTGCCAGCCGGGCAAAATGAATAAATTGCTGCCCCAAAGTTCTGACCAGACTGTCACTCACCACTTGTACTACTTAGTGCTAGTAGATTATTTGGGTTTACAGAAAATTAATGAGGCAACTGATGAGCATTCTGCCTAGTTTGGCACCGGATCGGATAGGGCGAGGGGAGTGTGGCAGTGCCAGGGGTAACGCAGAACAGCTGTTTCGGTTGGGAGTGGGAGGTTTGCTACCATAGAAGGCCAAAGGTGCTGGAGGCCTGTGGTCGTATGAGGTGGGATAAAATTGAAAGGTGGTGCTTGTGGTGGTGGGACTAGAGCAGAAGGTACAATGACAAATTCCGGAGGTATCGGTGTCAAACGGAGCTCATGAAGGTTGGGTAAGAAGGAGGCAAAAGCATCGGAGTCTGAAGGAGAGGAAATTATGACAGCTTAGCCAGCTGGTATCAAGGACCAGACCAAACTTGTGATTTGAGGTGCCTAAGAAACCCCATCCTGGCGGTCTAGATTCGCGTTGGAAAAACTGGCAAGCACTCCTTTTATAAGCAAAAGAAATCAAGCTAACCTCTTTTTTGGAATGTTCTACACAGTAACACAAGCATCATGTCGCTAGAATAAATTGTAAAGCGGATCAGCCAATTGGGTGATAATTTGAAATCAAAAGGATGGCAAAGAGTACTGTTTGTTTTATATCAGTTGTTGTGCTATAAATGGTGATAACTCTGTTCATTGCATGAATTTATACCATATTATGTGAGATGATACACGTATAGCAACACTAGATGACTTTTCAGAATTATCATTCGGCAAAATGTAAAGCAATGGTAGTATAAAAATGTCAATGGTTTAATAAAAACAGATAATTCACTAACGAAATTTTGCTTTCAAGACAATTAAGACTGCGATAACCAGCGAAAAAGGATTCTAACTTTGTTGCAAATCTGGTGTGAGGGTCAACGAAAAGAGAGTTACAGGAGCGGCTGGTGTCCCGATATAAATGAGGGGCGATGGA